CAACCCATTGCCAGCAACAGGATGTAAAAACAACTTAATAACCTACCCTGCACTTTCACCAAAAATTCACACAGCTGAATCCACACTACAATACTGGGTATTTATTTACTATTTATTATCTATATCTCTCTCCTATACAAAAACATGATATGGAGTAATCATAAAAAAAAAAAAAAATTCTTCTTAAATTATCAGAAAGTATGGAATCTGCTGATGCCATCTACAAACTGAAAAGCAGAAAATGCCTAGATTAAAAAGATTCTGATGCCCTCTAGTGGTCGATATGAGTACTGCAGTGTGATCTGTTACTGCTACTGCCTGTGTTCTTTTCGGCCAGTTGATAGAACTAATATAGCTTAAATCAAAGTCAGAGTAGCGGAACTGGAAACAAAATTATCTGTCAGCTATGCTTTCTGTTTATCTATTTTAGCCTTAAATTTGAAATTACCTTTGCATTCACTTTGAGGGCTAATAAAACATCCCACTGTCCCCTCGAGATCCCATCCATGGGTGGTCGCTATTTAATAATAAAGACGGGGATTGGACATACCTCTGTTCATCCATGAATGGGGGGAGGGGAGGATTAATGACAATATGGAGGGTAGGCATACCATTCTCACCCTACCTCCCTGTGGTTAGGGGTACCCAAGCACCTGGCCACACACCTAATAAAACATTTTTAGTTATCCCACTCATCCCAGTAGTAATGAAGGGGGTCCATTAAATCTAATATCTGTGGGGGGAAACCATACTTACTTTAAAAATTCTACTTTTTCTTAAAAAAAAACATTTCAGCCCCACAAAAAGTCAAATAAATAGTCATAAGATAAAAAAGAAACACAAACAATGGCGTAGTAGTTTGTGGGATGAAATGATTAAGGGAGAGATGGGTTTATAGGATGCCGTATGGAACATGGCAATCCAGATGACATAGAATGGCTTGGCATATTGAATAGAGTATGGCATAAATAGTTGAAGGCTCGTGGAGACAAGACTTACCGATCAGAAAGCTCTGACTGAGATTTCAGTGTGAGGAAAGCTTTTATAAAAGTTTTATAGTTGATGACGTGGCTACCAGCAATACCGAGCAGACGTCTCTGAACAGAGCTCCGCTCAGGCCCGGAAAAATATCCATCATAAAGCCACAAAAAAAACAGATTTAACCCAAAAAGCGGACATCCCCCCCCAATAGAGACAATGGGGCGAAGTAACAAGAAAGCCCAAGGCCCTGCTGGTCCCCACCAACCAGATATTAGAAGCTCCTTCGAGCGGCCGACAAACACAGACCACAAAGATGGCACCCACTTCGTGCCGCACACATGTGGCAGCTGAGGCCTCGCAAGACGAAGAGGACTACACACCCTCTCTCTGGTCGGAAACACCATCTTACCTAAACGACTCAGAAGAAGATGAGACACCCTCCACAAAAGGGAATATTAAAAGACTTCACAGAAATGAGGAAAATATGGGGAGCTGATCTCAAGCAAGTCCAGACCGAAGAAGTGGAGGTGAGCCAAAAAGTCCAAGCACTGGAAAGCCGTGAGTCAGCTAGAGAAAACAACCTCAAGATCAGAGACACACACCTAAAACAACTCACCTCTCAAGTGCAGCAGCTGAAATGCTCAGTGACCACAATAGAAGCAAGGTACCGGCAAAAAAACTCCGCTTTAGATGGATCCCTGAATCAGTGACTGATTAGCAGCTCCTGCCCTATGCCCACAAGCTGGTAGCAAACATGGGAGTGAGGGGTGATTTAGAAAGGCAGCGGTTTTCCTCGGCATTCCGGGTGCAGAAATCGGCGGCAGCCCCAAGCAGAGCACCCAGGGACGTCATCATGGTGATGCTGGACATAACTATAAGGTCAGCTATAATGGCACGCTCCAGAGAAATGGGGGTAATTAACAATGAAGGACACAGAGTGGCAATATTCCCTGACATACCATTCACTGTTCTCACAGAGAAGAGAAGGCTAGCACCTATAGCCAAGAAAATGAGAGACTCAGGAATAAGATACCGCTGGGGGGTGGAGGGTTCCCTCCTAACTGAAAGAGAGGGAGAAAGTATGATCCTGACATCAGATGACGACCCAGAGCCCTTTCTGCAAAAGATGGGGATGCCCCCACCAAGGGGAGCCTCCTCACCCATCAAGAGACCCGAAACAACACAGGGTCCCAATGAGAATGACCATACACAGAGCAAGCCAGCCAGCTTCAAAGTGAAGAGACTGACCCCAGCACACAGAACCATAGAACCAGAACCACGACCCACATCAGAGAGGAAAGACCGAACGAAAACGGTCACTAACAGAGACTCCACTTGGTGAACAGGCCTGACCTGCTGACCTACCAAGGATCGGCCACCAACCCTGAAAGAAACAACAGAGGCGGATATGACGCCTATCTGGTGCCCCACTAAGTATCTAGCAGACACTCCTAATTGAAAATCACAAAAGAGACCCAGGTGCCGGCACACCAGTATAATCCACATGGACTACCTAAATGCATAGCAAATGGTCCTACTTAAATATACTGCATTACTAGCAAATAGCATTACTAAATATACTGCATAACTAAACAGAGAGCATTACTACACATGTTGCATTGCTAGACTGCACCCTTAAAGATATCGCATTACTTAATACATTCCATAATTGTATTATTACATTGCTAAATATATTACATATCTATATAGACAGCAGCACTGCTTAAGTTACGTCGCCAGACATACTTCAATGCTACATAGATGGCGCTACCAATATAATGCATAACTAAATTACCGCTCTACTAATATATTACACTACTGAATATGTTGTTGCATAATTGTTTATACTACATATCGCATATACTGCATAAATGTACACGTTGATATTAACCAAATAAAAAAATACAAATAATAAAAAAAAAAGTAATAATGCGTAAAACAATAAGTTTCAACTTTTCCTGATGCCTAAACAATAATACTCTTGTTTATATGTGAGCCTATTAGCAAGTGTGGTGAACAATTCCAAAATATTTCAGGTACCATACTATCTGTCTGAGTCATTTTGAATAGGATAAGAACATTCTATTTAAACATTTAAAGCAGTTTTACCATGGAGAATAACATTAGCATCTTTATTTTTATGGCACACTCATAAGAACCACTGAGCTGCTTGAAATGAGGGGTAATCGATACTGGTCATATAGAGGCATACTTGAGAGGTAAGGCACACTACCTTCGAACATATTTTAAGAACATTTACTATTCAAACCATTACATTGTTGATGTCAATAAGAAATGGTTATTTCAAATTAACAATTGATTTTTCTGAAAAGAGTATACAGTTTGAAAATAAAAATGGATAATAAATCACTCAATGCCAGTTTCTATACATTGACTATGATTTTGTGTAATTGCTCACAGTAACACAGTAGCAGCATGTAAATGATTTGAAGAAATAACTTGCCCCTCAGATTGACGTGAATGAAAATCTAGCTTCTCTAACTGTGGCTAGCAGAGAGAAGATCGCTAATGGCACATCAGGCAGTTTTCCTGGCTAAAAGGTTTATTTCAGTGAAATTAAGATGTTATGAGAGACAACTTACACATTTTAAGATTGATATTCTCTTTAAATTATTACAAATAAATGTTGGACACCAAAAAAAAAAAAAAAAATGTATAGTTTTATAGTGTCAGGATCTAAGGTCTTTTTATTTGGAATTAAGAAGGGACAACAAAGTGCAGGGAGAATGTAATCAATGCCTCAATCCTGATGTAATGGGGTAACTCATGAATCTAAACCAAAAAAAAAAAAAGGCTAAATAAATACTGGATTCTTTATTGAGACAAGATAATTTTATTTGTAAAACACAACACACTAGGCGACAAAAACATAAAAATGTGCCAGAATAAATTCCAGAAGCAAACTACTGTGCCAGAAAGGCTCAGCAAACTATATAAAACGTAGAGTCTAACATCACACACCCGAACTAGCATCTTAGGGAAAACAGACTAATTTCCACAAACAGGATTCTGTGTTATATGAACTAAATGTGTGCCCACTTAACCTGTTAATGTTTTCCCAAAAAAGAGGTTCTAAAAGGTGAACTATATTTCATAAAAAAAAAAAAAAAGTTTAAATGAGAGTTGTAAATCAGAGTGCAACAGGAGTAATAAGTTACTAAATTTGTGAACTTGGTAATCACACAGTAACTCCTGTAGGTGTGTTTTATAGGCCCCAAGGACAAAGAGAGTTAGATAATCTTCTAGTTGAGGAAATAACTAAATGACAAAGGGGGAAGTTATCATCATGGGTGACTTTAATTTTCCTGATGTGAACTGGAAAACCAAAGTAGCTGCTTGTGCCAGGAGCATACATATTCTAATCTCTAAAACAAGTCATTGAGGAGCCAACTAGTAAGGAGACCATTCTAGATTTAGTGTTAACAAATGGAGATTTGGTATCAGATATTACTGTAGGTGAAAGTTTAGGATCCAGCGATCACCAGTCAGTGTGGTCTAATATAAGAACAGTGACTGAGTCACACCACACAAAAACAAAAAAGTTTTGGACTTTAGAAAAACAGACTTTTCTAAAATTAAAATATGTGTAAAGGAGTCATCATCAGACTGGAGCATTTTAAATGGGGTCCAAGAGAAATGGGATTATTTAAAAGTTGATCTACTGAAGGCAACAGAAAATTGCATTAGGCTTGTTAGTATAAAAACAAAAAATTAAAGAAACCACTGTGGTACTCCGCAGATGTGGCCAAAATAGTAAAAAACAAAACGTTAGCATTTAGTAATTATAAAACAAACCCAGAGTGAGGAAGATAAACAGATCTAAAAGATTAGGCAGAAAGAGGTTAAGCAAGAAAAAAATTGCACAGTCAGTAAAAAGAAAAGGGTACAAAACAGTTTTTAGATACATAAATGAGAAAAGGAAAGTAAAACCAGGACTAGTTAGATTAAAAACAAAAGAAGGAAGGTATGTAGAAGAGGATAAAGATCTAGCTGACTGCCTCAATTAATATTTTTGTTCAGTATTTACAGATGAAAATAAAGAAAAGGGGCCTCAGTTAGGAAAAGGGACAAATGAGTCATTGGTTGCATGTGAGTTTACAGAGGAAGAGGTTCTATTTCAACTGTCAAAAGTAAAAACAAATAAGTCAATGGGACCTGATGGAATACACCCAAAGTTGTTAAAATAGCTTAGTGGTGGACTAGCAAAACCATTAACAGATTTATTTAAGCAATCATTGTTAACAGGAGTAGTCCCAGAAGATTGCATGTTAGCGAATGTGGTGCCCATTCACAAGAAAGGTAGTAGGGAGGAGTCGGACAACTATAGGCCAGTAAGCCTTTCTTCAGTAGTGTGGAAAGTAATAGAAACCATGTTAAATGATCAGATTGTTGAACATCTAAAAAACACATGGATTTCAAGATCAGAGACAACATGGGTTTACTTCAAGGAGATCATGCCAAACTAATCTTATTGATTTTTTTTGATTGGGTAACTAAAAACTAAAATACACAAGACATTGCTTACCTAGATACTAGTAAGGCGTTTGAAACCGTTGTACATAGAAGGCTTATCAATAAACTGCAATCTTTAAGTTTGGTTCCAATATTGTTGAATGGGTAAGGCAGTGGCTGAGTGACAGGCAATGGAGTATATTCAAAGCATGGCCTTGTTACCAGTGGGGTACATCAGGGATCTGTACTTGGACCCATTCTTTTTAATATTTTTATTAGTAATATTGCAGAAGGTCAGGATGGTAAGGTATGTCTTTTTGCTGATGATACTAAGATATGTAACAGTGTTGATGTTTCAGGAGGGATAAGCCAAATGGTAAATGATTTAGGTAAACTAGAAAGATGGTCAGAGCTGTGGCAGCTGACATTTAATCTGAATAACTGCAAGATAATGCATCTTGGACGTAAAAACCCAAGGGCAGAGTATAAGAGTATAGAATATTTGATAAAGTCCTAATCTCAACATCTGCGGAAAGGGATTTAGGGGTAATTATTTCAGATGATTTAAAGGTAGGCAGACAATGTAGTAGAGCAGCAGAAAATGCTAGCAGAATGCTCGGTTGTATAGGGAGAGGCATTCACAGTAGAAAGAGGGAAGTACTCAGGCCATTGTACAGAACACTGGTGAGACCTCACTTGGAGTATTGTACGCAGTACTGGGACCATATCTCTAGAAGAATATTGATACTTTGGAGAAGGGTTACTAAACTGATTCATGCATTACAGGATAAAACTTACAAGGAAAGGTTAAAGGATCTTAACATGTACAGCTTGAAGGAAAGACGAGATGGGGGGATATGATAGAAACATTTACACACATAAAGGGAATCAACACAGTAAAGTAGGAAAGTATAAACAAAAAGAAAAACTTTTTTTACATGGTGTGTTCAATAAAAACATGGCAACATTTCATTCTTTGTGTGTTATTAGTTTAAGCAGACTGTGATTGTCTATTGTTGTGACTTAGATGATGATCAGATCACATTTTATGACCAATTTGTGCAGAAATCCATATCATTCCAAAGGGTTCACATACTTTTTCTTGCAACTGTATTTACCACCAGCAGACAAACACTTCTAAATTGTGGCTGAGGAAACCCATTGACAAATTCCAATGTGGGCAATGTTCAGCTTGCAGATATATTTCACATTCATCTAAAACATTAATGGCAGCAACAATTTTCAGGTATTTAAGGTACATTAAAACAAAGAGAGAATTTCTAGTACTAATGAGAGTATTAGTAGGCAGCTAAAATAACCCAAACCAGAGTCTCTTCCTTCTGGTAAAAAGTACAGTTCAGTATGGAAATGAGGGAGAAGCGCCTTGTAGATAGTCTCAAATCCAGGAGATGGTCAGTGGATATGTGGAGAGAAAAGAACTAAGAGAACACAATATAGTGCAGTTTCTTCTGACAGTTCGTGAGGAGTATAAAAACACAGTTTTCGGGAGCTATAGAGCAGCTCCAGATGGTAGCGCTTGGGCAGTACAATCCCCGCCTATAAACTGTAAATAAACTGTTGAATCAAATAAGGCTTACTCAAAGAGAGTCACATTAAAGATTTTATGTATAAAATTTATTGCAATATGAAAGTTTAAATGAATATTATAAATAATAAAGTTGCTCATTTAATAAACACACTGTGGTGGAACAATTCAGAGGAATAAAACCATTTTGCAAAAGAGAACTACAAAAATACAAGTATATAAAACAAACAATCAGAAGGATACTTTTATACAAAACATGCATAAAACCTATATTTCTATAGGGGAACGCAGTCCTCTCAAATAAACACGTTCCATGTTTGACATATATTGGTACATATTGTTTGCTCTGCTTTGTTTCTGAACATGTGCATATGGAATATCGTTTAGTCAAAAAGTTCGTAGTTCATTAAATATGAAGCGTCACTGGAACTTTTTAATTCACAATTTTTTTTAGTAAATGGGGAATTTCACACAAGTTAGGTCCACTAAATGGAGCCAAAACACTTCAGTTCAATGAAGTGATTTTAACCCTACTGTACAAGTCATTTTGTAGGGTTAAAGCCACCTCTAGTGACTACCTTCCAGATAACCACTGGGGGTGCTTCCGGCAACAACCACCACCAAGTGAAACTCTGTCGTTTGACCAATTGCTGCTTATAGGAAAGCACCAAATTCAATTCTTTCCGATGAGAAGTTTTTGATTGGATTCATGCTTGTCCACCTCCTCTAGGAGGAGCATTGGACTGGACAACAATTGTGGAAGTCATGTCTTCAGGATGACGTAGTGGGAGGCAGGTATCAGTGCCATGTGAGTGTCTGCGCTGGAAAATAAAGTTCCATTTGGGCTTTTAAATAGGGATTAGGGCACTATACCGGTTTACAGGTTTGTATTCCTTAAGCCTTTGTGTTCCTTTAAGTTAGAATAGATGAGATGGGGAATTTTTAAATTATATTAATTTTAGCTTAAAATGTGCTATTGTCAAGCCTCTAAAATTCTTTCTTGAATGAATAATTCCAATGGGGTTGCACAAATGCTTTAGCACAGTGGTTCCCAACCCAGTCCTCAAGTGCCCCCCAACAGTCCAGGATTTAAGGATTACTCAATTGTGTTGAAGGTGTTTTTGGGGAAAAAACAAAAAGCACTTTAGACACAACAGGGTAATCCCTAAATCCGGGACTGGTAGAGGGTACTTGAGGACTGGGTTGGAAACCCCTGCTCTAGCACACAATTTGTAAAGTATAATGATGGACAAATGAACACTTTAAAGAAAAACAGGTTTATGTAAAAACGTGTGGGTAGATGACCAAATGTGAAAGGGATTATTTAACATTTTGCCATTTTGTTTGCAAACAATTGTTTAGTACATTAATTCTGCCAAAGAGTAAACATATGTGCCTCCTTGTCTACATAAATACAACAAATCAAAATCGTTAAGCAGAAGACAAAGTTTCGAATACCACTTTCTCTTTTGAACACAAAACATACTACCCGGTTTTAAGAGAAATTTAATTTTCTCTTACTGGATGTCAACAGGTGTGAAGTAAAAACTAGCCCAAAATACAAAAAAGTGTATCATGCAATCCCGTATAAGGTCAATAAACACATTTCCTTAGGTTTCTGTAATTGTGGGTGTGAACATAAATAATTGTGTAGAGTGCACACATCTGGCAGCATTGATTGGAGATGGGAAAATACAATTCCTGGTCCAACCACGAGAAGAAACCAACCAAGTCACCTTCAAGAACACTGGAGTCACAATGTGGCAGTGCATTTCTAAACAGGGTGGAATATATTCAATAGCTATATGTGGTTGATTAGAGCTCTAATAGTGACTGCCTAGGTCTTCAATACTACTTTGACACATTAATCTTCAGTAATTAGGATTCAAGAGAATTGTTGTCCAATATGAATACTTGCTGGTTTAGAATGGAAGGAAATTACGAGGAGAAATCCATACGTATTTTCTAAGGTGTCCAGTTGAGACTATCTAAGCATCATAATCATATCATCTCAATAAAGAGGTTATGGTGCATGGAGTCTAATGGCACCATCTCACTATTGCGTGTTAAAACGATTTCCAATAGTTTAATACTGAATAAGGACCCCAGGATGGCCACAGGCGCAGTCTATCACATATGTCCATTGCTGGTATGAGTTAATATGGCTACGGCAGAGTGCGTCTCCCCCAAGGCCATACCTCCGGACAGGGCCAAGCTAAGAGTGCCTTGGGACCGTCAGTTCAAAAGCCGTTTCAAACCTCGAACAGTCAACAAAAATGTAACCAAGGAATGATACCAGGGGACTCCAGGCACCATAACCACTGCAATAAGAGGAGTTCATTATACTTATAGTGTCCCTTTAATTGTCATTTTAAATGACTTACAGCTCTCCTGTTTTCAGACAGTGGTTATTATAAACTATTGATTTTGGCTGATTTGAGACACAGTGAGATGCATTTAGATCACTAATTCTATCAGAGGGACTGAAAACAGAATGATTCACCAGGAAACAAAAAATTCATTATATAAGAATCACAAAATCTTATATTTTCTCAACTTGCACTTTTCTTTTCTTTTTTACATTTATTTATTTTCACTTAAATCAGAAAATATAAAAAATATAGCATTTTTCCTTTAGGCATCACCTGGAATCATTTACACAGCAGGTTTCCTAAAAGAAACATTTAAAAAATACACAACTCACATAAGAGTAGTTTTTGTTCAATGTAAAAGTGGAAAATTGACATCTGACCAATTGCTTAGAACTCTGCAAAGCCAGAAAGCGAGTGTACCATCCAGAACGAAAAGTACCAAAACCAAGAAATATTTTAACACTTGACTATTGGCAACAGTAAACAGAAGTTCACACGTGGGTGCATACAAAACACATACATATATATCTGCTACTGCGTGATAGGAGGCATCTCACTCCATGCCTTTGCCTTCTTCTTGGCTAGAGACAGCCATGGAGGTTCATCTGGATTTTGAAGGGAGGCAGGACATTTTTCTGATCCTGGTCGGATCTCTATAGATTCAGCTGAAAATAAACGATAATTCCTTAGTAACACATTTACAGAAATGTAAACTATTGAAACTTTAAGTAGTAGGAAATTCAAGCATGCTTTTAAAAAATACATTTGATTTAATTTTCTTTCTCAAAAAGGTACAAGAATGGGTAAGAGATCACCAAATACGTAGGCTAGATCCTTCCAAAATTCACAATATGACTCCTGGGTAGGCTGCTCCCCTTTCCCACACTCCTCCCCCCTCCGCCCCACCCCTCTCAAAAAACAAACCTCCAAGGAATTTATATTAAAAGCATGGACACCAATGAACTGCAATTTTACCTGGAGAAATGTCAATGCACGGAAGTTCTTTCTTTGGCTTTATCTCTTCGCTTTGTGTTTTGGAATCGTTGCTAATTTTTAGGGAAATTTCCAAAGCACCCTTAAAGTAAAAACAACGCCAATTAAACACACACATATAAATGCCCATCCCTCCCACTCCCCACCCCTCTTT